TTATGCTATTCTTGTACCTTTCCTTATTTGCATGTTTTTAAACTAGTCTCTTGATAATGGAGTCATGATGACCCCGAAACGTCGAGTAATAAATCTTTCCTGGTTTTTTCAATTCATTAGTCGTTATCTGTAATTACATAATCATTAGCACTTCGATCCTATTTAATGCTCTTTTTTTTATTTCAAAAGTTGTAAATAACTGAAGAAGGTCTCTGACCGAAACGTTTTTATTAAAATTTTTTATATTTTTTACGTCAGAAGTTGTCCATCCTCGCAATTTTTTAAACTTTCTATGTTCGTGTTGGCTGTGAGGTTTGGACTGCGAATCTTTATTGATCCTCCTGGCTTGGTGCACCTTTGTTGGCCTGAGAGTTCCATTAACGACTTACATATATATATATATATAAAACACTATAATCACATTTTTTTCTGAATCACCTGTAATTATTAATTTAGCACACAGAACAAGGATGATGCTATTTTTTTTCTTGAGCTCATGGAATTACTCATCAAGCTTTTTCACTCTAACATCAATATCAATATTCTCCTTATTGTTCATTATATATTTCCTAAGGTGCTGACAAGGAGAATTTGTTAAAACAATCAAGAGCCTCTTTACTTGGTGATCATTTCCTTTATTCTCGTGACCTACATGTGTGATTCAGAGGGGAATACTGTAAGAAGAAATTAGATGCCAGTCACTCTTACAGGTTAAAGGATTAAGCTGTCTCAAGTGTTGGACCAAGGAAAAGTCAAAGTCCCCCACATGGAACCAAACCTCTAATTGATAACCCTAAAATAGACAGGTCATCCCTAGGAAATGCTTCATTTTCCACCCACTTTCACAAATGAGCAGGCAATAGGAAGCAAAACATTTTATAACCAAGACCTACAACAACTTTTTGAGAGAAAAAAAACTGCAAGGAGCTGTTTCTCTTTGAATTCTTAATAGAATTTCCCTTCCTCTTCCAATGCTCTTCTCTCAACACAACTTACCTATTCTTGGTATCAAATTACTCTGTAAGTAGAGAATTTTCAGATCTCTGCACAGTTTATCAAGGAGCTCAATCCTTTAAAAAAAATAAAAGAACAGTCACTGGTCTGGCAAAACAGCAACAACATGTAAATGCATCTCTGTGAGTGATCTAAATTGTTCAGGTTAAAACTCGAAGTTGCAAGTGACAAGGATATGAAATTCATTTTCTTTTCTTATTTTGTAAAATCTTTATTCAAGTATCAATAAAATCCAACTGTTGCACTCTAATTGAGGATGCTATCAAAATTCTAACATTCTGTGATTTAATTGAAGTTAACTTACCATTAAACTTTGATTCTAGATCACAGAGAGGGCATTAAGATTTAATCATTTAAGGTAGGAATGTTGAAATTAGTGAATTAAAGTCAGCATCTGTGCAAATGCATGCCTACCCCTCCTAACAAGTCAGGATTGATATGTGTAGGGGAGGGGTGGTGCAAAATTGCTCAGATTCCAACATACTGAAAAAAATTATAACACAAAAAATGTTTAAGAGCAACCTAATATAGTTTTTTTATGCATTGATGAGGCTAGCAATTTAGCAACTTTTTAGGCTGGAGAGTTTCTAGAAGGCTGTTGCTTAGCATGGAAATTTCTCGTTTGACTGTCACTCTGAATGTAAATTTAAGTGTAAGCTTTAGTGAGGATCACCTCTCAATTTCCTGTTGATGTAGTGAAATTTCTTCCAGTGAAAAGATCTCGCAGTTGTTGTGTTCGGCTCTTTTTCGAAGTAAATCCTCTGTAACTATTTAAAAAAAAACAAGCATGTTAAGCTTATAAAATCAAAACAGTAACAATCTCTTTATCTTAAATCAATTGTGAATTTCTTACTTCGAACCATGTCTTATAAATGGGAAGCGTTTCTTGCAATCGTACTATGTAACCAGGCAAGTGCTAACTACTAGCATGTCTCCATAGCAACTTGTATTTAAAAAAGAATGGTGAAATTTTTACAAATCCTTTTTAACCTATGGAAATTATTTTAACCCCTTTCCTGTTACAGCAACAGCTCATGATTCAATTACCTTGATGATGACAGAGTCAAATTTAACGTGTTACATATCAGTCATGCAATTCAAAGGATATACAATATGTCTCATTTACGTCGACTCGATCAAGTTTGACCGTAGGCAAACCAAGATAGTAATTAAAAGGTAATTAGTCTCCCCTACTTCTCTACGCTTCATCGCATAGAAATAAAAGCTATTTTAAAGTAAAGCCTTGTCACTAGCTATTACTCGGTTTTGTGTGGGCCTATATTTATCTATATCTTCATAGCATCTGTACGTACTAAATTAATTGTAGCCTTAATCAGATGCCCTTAATAAAATGAATATCCAAATATTTTTTCCTTAATACATCCTATTAGTTCTTTCAAGTAAAATGACTTCAAAACTGCTCCAACCATCGTTAGTCTCATAAACGATCATATGGCCACGCCCTAGACTTTTGTTTCACTCTTACTGAAACGGCATACTTTCAGAAATAACAGGGTTCGAGCAAATACACATTGTCGTGTTATTGAAAATCTTCCTTGAGTTCTAAGTTGTAAATAATTTGGGGCGAAGGGTTTAAGATGAATAAAAAGTTGGATTGTTCCTGAAAAACCTGGAGTTCATTTCCTGTAGACACGACACTAGCGAAGTTAAACTTAGCTACATATATTTCTAGTTTGGAATGTGTCCTTCTGTCTCCTTAGATATTTTTTTAAGAAAACCCTCTGCTGATGATGATTACCTCAAACGTTTCGATAATAAATACATACATATATATATATATATATATATATATATATTTTTTTTTTTTTCTAAAATAGCGTTTTCCTTGACTTCTCCAGCTGAAAGGCCTGTGTCTTGACGTCAAACGCTCTGAACATCCGGGACTTCCAATATGGCGGCGACCAGTTAGCCAATGAGAAACAGCGGTGTTTATTCGCTGGTTCCACACTCCATAGCTTAAAGTTATCTCCTCCAAAGGATTGTTTTGAGCAGGAAAAGGAATCAAAACGTAGTAGTAGGCCAAGAAGAGGAAGCGATCTTCCCTCTTCCATCGGGAAATCGCCAATTTGCTATCCACACTTACTATGGACTCTGTGGAAGTAAGTAATGAGTAGAGATCACGTCAAGCATGCTGTTGTTGTCGTTACGTACGACAAGCACTCGCCTCTGTGCAAACATATTCGAAGTCTTGGACTTATTTCGCCACCTTTTCCTCTTTTGTACTTCAGGCAAAAAGGCCAGGTATTAATCCTGCCCCTGCTACCAGTCATCCAGACCCATTTAATCGAAAGTCTGTGAGGAAACCGCAGAAAGCTCAACAGAAAAAGCAGCAAGGATCGTCAAGGTTTCGGTCCAAACCAAGTTTTGAAATCCAACCTCTTAGTCCTTTGAAAGGTGGGTGACAAACTGACTGTAAAGTAGACCATAGGCCTTGTTGGATAATTCTAATATATTGCTGATCACATTTTCTCTAAAATAACCTTTTTGTTTACAAACCAGACGCATCGCCAGCCGAGCAACAGGAATTGTTCATCAAGAAACTACAACAGTGCTGTGTAGTCTTCGATTTCATGGATCCAGTTAGTGATCTTAAGGGGAAAGAAATCAAGCGAGCATGTTTAAACGAACTTGTGGACTATATTGCATCGGGTCGTGGAGTCCTCACTGAGCCGGTATATCCAAAGATAATCGAAATGGTGAGTGAGGGTCAAAAATAGCGATTTGTCTTCGAACATTGTAGGAGGCGCCTGCGAGAGAGAGGATGATTGTATGTCCACAGTTACACAATGCAAGCTAAATTGGTTTGCGCCTACCTTGTGAGCGAGTAAGGCCCTTGAACTTTCATTTGCCCAGCTCTCAGTAGTATATCTTTCACTTATTGCACATATTCAATGTTTGTGAATTATGTTAGCGCTTAAATAAGGAAAAGAACAAGAGTACACCTTGAATGGAAATCAGCATCCGTCGCTAGCCTGTGTTGTTTTAAGCAAGGCGTTAAACAAGTTAAGGAACTCACTTTTGACAAAAGCTTCGGGAGGTGAAATTTATTGCACATACATCATTACCCGTCAAACTTTGTGAATGGAAATGAACTTTGGAAAATTCTAAAACGTTTCCGGATAGTTGCAGCAGAATGCTGATCAGTCCTCCACTTTCCTAGCCGGGGTATTAAATATGTCTCCTAATGTAAATATCATCCCAGCAATGTTTGCGTTGTACACCAGATCACGGCCAAAAGTGCTTCTGTGAATTGTTACTGTACATTCCCTCGGCTCTCCCCTCAAGAGCTTTTCTTTTTTTTCAGTCGGCCAAACAGTATTAATAAAGAGATCAGTTACCTGATATTGCCGCAAAGTAGGAATAGCCCGGCGAACACGTCTTATGAACGAAGTGTTTGCCAAGTCATGTCTTGAACTTGTTATGATATAAATCCCTGAGTAATGAGACAAATTAAACACTTTGGAAGTCACCATTTTCTCTATAAACCTCAATCGTGCTTTTACCTTAAGAGATTACACGATTTTTTTTTTACCACTTTTAATCAACGAGTGTGATATTTACCTGCGGGGGATTAACATTTGTACATTTAATTCTTCGTGTGCCGTATACTTTGTTCATGGGTTTTATTGTAGTCTATAATTTCCCAAGAGAAGTTACTTGCTGCAGGATATAAAATGGCGTACTTCCTGATTTTAAGTTCTTGATTGCAGAAATACATGACCAGTTGTAATAATGAATTGCACGGTTTGTTTACAAGTTACCTTAAAGGTGCAAGTGAAAATATTTTAAAGTCATAGTCACGTAATTTGTATCAGTGCAGATGTCCCTTTATCTAGAAATCAATTTTGAGAGGAACACATAATAACAACCATGACAACAATCTACTTTTAAATCCTGCTTTTCATCTAGCAAACTACTAAATACCAGCATGTAGAGGCAATCAATGTATTATAAAATTGAATCTGCTAATCAGTTTTTTTCTCAAGTTACAAGTCTAATAATGAAATTGATCTCCTAACTACACTTGATGTAATCACCACAGAAGGTTCTAAATGATTGAGTGATGTTTGAAGTGGAATAGATGGTAATATGGACAGTTAATTCATGGTCAATTTCTCTAGTCTGATGTATTGCTTATTATGGACTCTGAGATAAACAAATGTTGTCTTCACTGAAAACACTTAGATTTTGAAGATATATTCGAAAGTATTTGTTTTGTCTTTCTTGACAGGAAGATCAATGAATTTAGATGTTTTCATAGAGGATCACTGGTTCAGTGAAATGAATTTGTTCACTTTTCAGTCTCCTGTCAGACACAACTTGGCACTATTATTTTCAGAGTGATAAATTGTTGTTTTATAGCTCTTTTTGTTTAAATGTCAGTGTCAGAAACTCTTTATCATTTCTTTTTACACTTAAGGCAAATGGCTTCATTGAACCATTTGCAAGTATAATACTCATAATTGTCTTAAGTATTCCACAGATGGCAAATGTATTGAATCAGTTGATATCTTCAATAGCTCTTCTGTTTGGTTTTAGGAGAAGTAGCTGGCATTTTGATTTCAGTTAATTTAAGTTGGCCACCCACTACTTAAGAATTTCTAAAAGATTCAGACAGAATTCATAGAAAATGTATAAAGGTTGATCAAGAAAATATTCATGGGAAAACCAACATAGTTTGTAAACATGTTCTGTCATCTAATGGGAAGAGCATCCAAGGACTCATACTTGGCTCTAGACGGAGTAAAATCAAATCTTATTCTAAAGGCCTACAAATGGCTAAGCAATTCTTCAGTTTCAGTTCAAATATGTATCCTTGGGTGTAGGTAACCTATTTTCCCTATTCCCACCAAAATCATCTCCACCATGTAATAAAGAAAGAGTTGAGGTTTTATGAATTATTCTAGTAGGGAACTCTTTGCTCATGAATTATGTGCCTACAGTACTTCGCATTAAGTGCTGCTCTTGTAGAGTCTACAGTGAGAAATCACTTCTCTTGATTTGTCCTTACTTGTTAATGAGATGTGCACTGCCATATACATGTGTCACTGTGATCTTGTAGAATTTCCATGTATCAGTATATTCTTGAGTAAGGTGTGTTGGTAGTAGAGATGCAAATATATTTATGTCTATTCTAAAACTATAGGGTATCGACATTTATTATCCAGCTCGGTGTTTTGACTCATTATTTGTATTTTGACTTGGCCTATGGGCTCGTAAAAACATGGCAGAACTCATAAAAGTACTCGGTGATACTGCCCAAGAAAATGTCTTATAAGATATGTGTATTCGTCCGGTCAGCCCTGGTGAGTACTTTGTGAGCTCAGACTTTGTGGGACTTTTTATCTCAGATGTTTGGTATTTTCTTACCACAATACAAGTACAAATTTCTTCTTTCCTATGGATTTTTGATATGTGGTATATTGACGTGAGCTGACTTGCATACTTATCTAGGTATTCAGTACATAATTTTTACAATTTACGGATAGAGTAGGATAGTGTCTCTATTCCAATCCCCCCACCACCTCCCCCTGACTAGGCCTGCATTTTATTTGGACCTGTTGTTGGTAAACAACTGTCTGTCAGGTGTTTTCTTTTTTTTTTTTTTTTTTTTTTTTTTCCCTAGTGCCCATATACTGTTGGTTCATTTGAACATGTGCATAGAAAAATGTGAAATTGCCAAAAATGCATTTAATTCCTCAATTTTATGTCAAACAATAAAGAACTTTTGGAAGGACAAACAGCATTACTTGACATACAAATCATCAGCCGGTGACAATCCTCACATTAGCTGTTCAAGTTATTTTTCCTGTCTTTTTCTCTACTGATTTCTGTGTTAGCCCAAATAAACATGATTCTGGTAATAAGCATGGCACTGGTAGTTTCCCTTCCTAACTTTTTCCTGGTCCCAAAGCAACTAAAACTAAAACTAAAACTTAAATTTTTGAAGCACTAGGAAACACCATGTTATGTCATTAATATTGTGGCATATTCATCTGTAAGGCAAGAAAAAACAGCGCATTTCAGTTAGATGGGTTAAAATTGAAGGAGATTAATATTGTGATATCCAAGCAACCTTTAAGAAAAAGGTGGGCCTAACCCTTTTTTTTCCAAGGGTAATTGATTAAATATCAATCAAGGAGCTTGACAAATCAGACTTGTTTGTATTTTAGAGATCATTATTGACAAAAAACAACAGTAATAAGGTAAAATATGGTGACCCAGTCACATGGTTAAAACTTCCTTTTTGTGATCTTAATAGGTTGATGCAAACATTTTTCGCACTTTACCACCATCTGATAACCCAGACTTTGATCCTGAGGAAGATGATCCAACACTAGAGGCCTCTTGGCCTCATTTGCAGGTGAGATCTGTATCCGTGTTCATTGTTAACTCATTTTTATCTTGATCTGAGGTACATGTAATTTTTCCAAAGTTGGTGTGGTAGTTTTATACTTGTTCTGCTGTACTCTGGAAGATGGTTTAGGTTTGAGCCCTTCCTGACATCAGTGTGTCCATTCATGGGAAACATTTCCCTCTCTCAAGGTCTCATTTACTAGTAGAAGTTTTTGGGTTCTAAAAACTATTGGATAAGCAAGTGACAATATTTGAGATATCTTTTCCAGGGGTTTCATTAATGTTTTCTGCAGGAGGGCAACTGGTTTTCACAGGCGGGCAAAACTCTTTGAACTGAACTTCTTTATAAGATAAACTTTCTTCCAGATGGTCAAATCAGGTGGGCAAAGCCATCCTCACAACCAGTCAATTTGCCCGGTGCCTGGCCCTCAATGAAACCCCTGCTTTTCATATGCACCAGTTAGCAATTTAACCAAGAGGAAGAGCTTAAAACTCTCCTGTCACTTCACATGTAGGCTAGTTCATCAAGATCATGAACTATATTTCTGAAGGAGTCAGTCCAAGGTATTGAATGATTTTTGGAAAAGAGTAGAATCTTTTTTTCTTGGAAGGAAGTATCTACACAATGGTTTCCCTGGAAAGGTAAACAATCAAGAGACAGCAATAAAGCAAAATGAATTTCAAGGATCATTTAACAGGATGACAAATAACAAACTTGAAAAGTGCCAGGAAGATGTTTTGTTCAAACTACGATGTACCTCAGTCAAATTAAAACAAAAATGAGTTTTGAGACAAAAGGGTGGACTCCTGAAATATTTTCACCCTTCTATCCAGCAATTACTCTCCCAAACTATAATTTTTGTGTATTTTTCAAAGTAAAGATAAAGAAATAACATCCTCTTACCAAAATTCTTGGTACTTACATCAATTTCTTTTTACTTGTGGAAGTTGTATCAATTGGTGCTATATGAAAAGATATCTTTTATTTTAGTAACAAGTTGAAGAAAATAAAGTTTAAGTTCAACCCCTGTGATTTTTATACATATTCTATGGATTTTAGATAGTATTTTTGGTGGCACAACTGATTTGTTGTTTATTATTTTGAAATTGTAATGTTTCCTCAGTATTTACTCTTCAAATTTACATTTTCACTTTGTTGTACTTTGAGAAAAATTTCTTTAAATTTGAGGCTGAGCACTTAGAAACATGATTGCCTTGACTTTTGGAATAGCAGCTAAATAACCACTAACAATTATGGTTCTGTTAGCTGGACATCATCAAACTGATGTTGTTCTTTTTTTCCTTTTTAATTTTGTGTGGAATATTCATTCAAGGTGTGACAATTAGGTGGTTCTTTCCTCTTGCTCTAATTTACATACAACTTGTGATTAAAATGTCACTTTGGGTGTGTGATAATCCAAAATTTAAATGAAATAAATCCTACTTTCTACTTAAAAGCAATGTTCTGTCATAAAGAAAAAATCTTGTGGGAAAGGTTTTAAAAAATGAACAGTAAAAGAAGCATACTTTTACAGTTAAGGCCATTTTTTTCTTTTGCTGGTTCTAGTAAGGTTACATTTGGCTCCATAGCAATATTACATATTACTATGGATTTTACTTATATTGTATCTCTTCACTTGACAAAATTTACGGTAGTTTTGTGATCCCAGCAATGCAATTGAGTTGTCTTATCACAGGCAGTTCCAAAAAAAAAAATAAAAAAAGAAGCAGTCAAGGGTTAGTTAATCTCATCAATGTTAATCTTTTCTTGGCTGTAAATTCTAAATTCTGAAGGGTTATATCAAGTGAGATAATTCCTTATTAAAGAAAACTTCTGCCTATATTAGTAAATACACATGTGCAGGTAGATCCTAAAAA